CTTAAAAAAAAAGTGCACATAGACTGGTACAAATAAGAAAGAGTAGGTCTATTATGAAAAATGAGAAAAAAATCACAGTCTTTTATTTATGGGTAATAGCACTGCCTTCTTGAAAGACAACCGATACCAAGCTTGGACTGGAGTTGGTTGTTGGTGCTCAGTAGCCTTGTAGAGTGAAACAAATGAAGGCATAGCTGAAAGAAGAAATCACAGGAAAATCATAGAAGACAAATTTAAGCTGTAATGGACTGAGCACAGATGCCAATACCATCTTCCCACTGCAGTTCCTACAAATGACAGAAAATATATTTCTGAAAAATAGATCAATATGGTACCAAGGTTGGAGGAGAAGAGCTTCATTGGCAGAAAGGAAAACAAATTCTCTGAAATCCAAAAAGCAGGAAACGTGCATCAGTAGAATATATCATGGCCCAGAACGTATGCAGGGAACGGCTACTGTGAAAATGGGTTAGTGTGCCCTAAAGTAAAGGAAAATGGAAGTGAGCAGCAGACCACGGGGCAGCAGTGTGGATTAGGGCTCTCAGACCACACCTCGCTCCTTTTCCATGGTCCTTTCTTCATGCCCTGAGGCAGAAAGAATCTTTTAGCCCAACGAGTAAGCTATTGCCCCGAGAGTTTGTAGATACCCAGAAGGTTCCCAAGCCTGATGATAAATTACTGATATGTCCCGACAGTATTTCCTGCTCATTTCTCATAGTTCCTAGAGATAGGCCACAGACACGGTAAGAGCATCTACAGGCAAACCGGAAGGTTTAATGTTATAGAGAATGCCTCACTTAACAAATATAGATATGCCTATCTTAGGAATTTGAGAGCAAATGGGAAAAGCTGGTAATGGTGATGCATGCCAGTAATCCAGGGCACTTAGGAAATGGACGCAGAAGAATGAATCAAGAGTTCAAAGGCATCCTCCACTACACTGCAAGTTCAAGGCTAGCCTAAGCTATATGAGACTTGTCTTCAAAAACAAGAAGAAAGAAGAAATATCTAATTAAGATAGTCTGGTTATATAAAGCATTAACAAACAAATAACTTTTTATTTTACATTTTTATTATATGTGAATGAGTGTTTTGTATATGTACCACATGCATGCCTGGTGCCTGTGAAGGTCAGAAGAGGGCATATCCAAAAACTGGAGTTACAGATGGTTATGAACTGTTATGTAGATGTTGGGAATGAAATATGGGTCCTCTGAAAGAGCAACCAGGGCTTGTAACTTCCAAGTCATCTCTCCAGTTTCCAAGAAACTATTATATTGAAGAAAAACTATTTAGAGGTAAAGAAATAATCATAAAAGTAATAGAAAAATATATAGGTGATGCAAGTAGACAGATCAAAGGAACCTAGGAAAGATATGCAGACAAGATCCATGTCTAATCCATGTCAAGAAGCTCGCTATTCAAGACAAGAAGTAAAATTACAAAGATTTTCAATTTGTATGTCTGGGTCCCAGAAATAAAAATAATCAATATGCATACCACAAGGAATAATAAATATTGGAAGTGATGGATTTGTGATTATCCTGACTTATTTTAAGAATATCATAAAGTTAATTTAAAATCCAAATAAAGAGAACACCAGAGAATGAGAGGTCTATCTCACCTATGAATCTTATATATGCAAAGAAATTCAAATAAAATATAACCAAACTACATAGGAAAAAAATCAAACATCACAGCTAAGTGGGATTGACCACAAACAAGAACGCAAGTGCCCCTGCAAAGCTCATGCGTCTGCTTTAACCAGGATTTGCTGGGACCGCTCACAGGAGGGACATTGTGAGGGGTCTGGGACTGGACATCAGGCTCTGAGAGCGGAATGTCTTAGTTAGGGTTTCTATTGTGAAGAGACACTATGACCATGGCAACTCTTATAAAGGAAAACATTTAACTGAGGTGGCAGGTTACAGTTGCAGAGGTTCGGTTGATTATCATCATGACGGGGAGCACGGTGACCTGAGGGCAGACATGGTGCTGACTGCATCTTGATCAGAAGGCAGTAGGAAACAGACTGCAACACTGAGAGAAGCTTAAGCACAGGAAACCTCAAAGCCCATGCCCAGTGGCACACTTCCTTCAACAAAGCCACACCTACTCCAACAAAGCCACAGTTCCTATTAGGGCCACTCCCTAAGAGTTTATGGGGGTCAATTCCATCCAGACTCCACAGTCGGCAAGGTTGGAGAAGTAATAGCTTTTCCCCCTGTACGACTGGAGTCCATGACACACAGCAGTATGAAATAGCAACATTCATGGTAGCAGTTCTCTGGTGAGAGTGAGGAGCTAAAGTTCAGACTTTACAGTTAGAGCTAAGCAAGTTAGCAAGCTTGGGCAAGAGAAGGCACATAAGCATTCAAGGCAGGAGTAAGGCTAGTCATCCACTGATATGACTGAAGGGTAGATGTCCATGCCGTGCAATTAGACAAGGATTGATTGCCCGAATGGCTCCCCTGGGCTTCTGCAGTGGGTTGGAATCTTCTCTTGGTAGTCAGTTACAAGGCATTATGTTACACAAGGTAAAATGATTAGCATTTCCCTGTCAAAGGTTTTCCCCAGAAAATTAGAGAAACCTATCAATGTAATTTATACCATCTTGATCCACTCAAATAGCAACATCAAAATATCATTCAAAGGGATCATTTTAAAATCATGTTGGAAAATTCACCTCTATTCATCCTTATTACATTAAAAATAAAAGTTTCAACTAAAACTCTACAAAAAAAAATATTATTCTTAAAACTTGGGACTGGGGAGATGGTTCAGTGAGTAAGAATGGTTGCCAAGCAGGCATAAGGACCTGAGTTTGAATCCCTATCACCCGTGTAAGAACACAGGGAGTGGTCCTGCACACATGTGACCCCATCATTAGGGACAAACACAGATGAATCCTTGGAACTCTCTGGCTCACACCTAATAAAAAAAAAAAAACCAGCAAGCCTCAGGTCCTCAAAAGAAAAAAGCATACAGAAAGAAAGGAGAATACCCAACATCTTCCTCTGGCCTTGCATGTTCATGGGTGCTTATGCTGAAACACACACACACACACACACACACACACACACACACACACACACAAACACACACCCCACTCTACACCACACATACACAATGAAATTTTATTTTATTTTTTAAAATATATTTATTTTTATGTGCATTGTTATTTTGCTGCATGTATCTCTGTGTGAAGATGCCAGATCCCCTGGAAATGGAGCTATAGACAGCTGGGAGCTGCCATGTGAGTGCTGGGAGTTGAACTCAGATCCTTTGGAAGCGCAGCCAGTGCTCTTAACCACTAAGCCATCTCTCCAGCCCCTACACATTGAAATTTTAGATCCACCTCTTTGGAGTGATGATATGCTTGCTATGTAAACTGTGAAATTCAGTATAGTAAGACAAGGAGTGAAATGGCCCAATGATTAGGAAAGGACAGAAATGTACAAGCTGCGCATATGACTGTCTCTATTAAAAATCCTATGACAGGCCTACCTGGTGCCACTCGACCCAGGCAAATGAAAGACACCCACAGGCCAGCCTGGGTCCTCACAGTCCAGGCTGGCTGAAGACATCCACAGGCCTTGTGGCACCAGGTGGGTGGGTGCCATTATGATGAGAAAATACATGGTGGAGAAACAGGAGAGAAAGAGAAGCGGAAGAGAAATAGGAGACAAAGGGAAGTTTGTGTGCTGTGGAAAGAAGCAGAACTGGAGAAGCCAAGACAGTGAGCAACAAGTTGGTGTTGGTGGCCTGCTTGCCACCTGGGGCCAGGTAACATCCAGGCCAGGGATGCTGCCTAGAACCATATCTAGGTCCACCGGCTGGGGTCGGTGTTGATATCCATGGCTTCGGTAACCACTGAAAGTCATCCAGATGCCAGGGGTCTGGTCAACCACCTGAGTCCATGCTGGTGTCCAATAGCCATGCTGCCACTGGAACCATGCCAATCAGAGTGACCTGCACTGCCATTGCCACCTGGGGCCATGGTGACTAGTAGGTCCCGGCTGCTGTTGAGGACCTTGTCTGGGTCTCTGGTCATACAGCAGCCAGGGTCCATGTTGATGTCTGTGACTCGTGTTGCCACCAAAAGTCACACAGATGTCCAGTGTCTAGACCATAACTTATGGCCATGTTGTTGTCCAAAGGACATGCTGTCCCTGGGGCCATACTGATCTGAGTGGCCAGCACTGTCCCCTCCCCGAGGGGGCTATGGTGTCATCCAGGTCTAGGATACCACTGAGAGCCATGTCTGGGTCCATGGCCCTACCACAGGCACAGTCTGTGTTGATGTCCATGGCAGGACGTCCAAGAGGAGTTTAAGTGAGGGCCCAGTGATGATGATGACCTCGAACCACACAACGACTCATTGCAATGAACACTTGTAGGAGGGGCTGATTGGACAAAGGGGTATACTGCATGACACCCCGCAGCTTCCAATGCCACTAGGATGGATAAAGAGGTATTGGAGAGTCAGGAAAGATGGAGGAACAAGGTGGGTCTTTTGTTTTTAATTAACTTTGGGGGGGTGTTATAATTTAGAAAGGGTGGCATGCGAGAGAAAGACACCAGGCAACAGAGCTCAGATGGAGGGGATTTTTAATGGGGGAATGGGAAAAGGTGAGAGGGGAAAGGGAAAACAGGCCTCTGGGGACAGGAGTGGCAGAAGAGAAGACAGACAGAGAGAGAGAGGGAGAGGTGGGAGGTGGGCAGGGCGCTTTTAAAAGGGGACATAATGAATGTGCACAGGCAGTGCTCTTAGTGGCTACAGCTGAGTATGTATACCCCAAGGTCAGGCCAGTACATATTCCTGAATACTAACATTTTCTTTGTGGGGTGATGCTGCCAGGGTGAGAGGTGGATATGGAGGGATGGAGAGGTGAGCTGAATTGATGTGCATGATATGAAACTCCTAAAGAATCAATAAAGAATTATGTTATAAAACATCCTAGGCATATACACATACAGCCTTTAGAATTAGTTGGAGTTTAATATTTGTATTGATATAAAATAACCATAAAACACATTTAAAATGTTCTTTTCCCCCTAGAAGTAATCAGTTAGGATATATAACATATAAGATGCGAGCCACGGCATTACTAAAACCTAAAGAGCACATAGAGAGAGGTCAAACAGAAAATGGGCAACATTTTTACTTAAAGCATAAAGCAGCTAAGAATATAAAATTAACGAATGGGACTGTAACCACATTCACTGAATGCTCTAATATCACGATGGCATTGTCACTCTCCAATTTGATACATATGTTGCATTAATAATGCCCATATCCTACAGCCCAACTATCTTACCTATATCAACATAACCTCTGGAAAACTCCCTCAATGACATGCACAGGAAAACTCTTTGCAACACTGTTTGTTTTCAGGGGCAAAAAAAAAATGAAGGAATGCTAGTTTCCATGTGAGAAATGCTTTTTCCATATGATAGAATTGTTTGCCTCGGTTAAAAGGCAAGAAGAAGATCTGTACACATCCTGTTCAGTCACAAATCAAATGTCTGGATGCAAATTAGGCCGTCCCTCATTTCAATATGTAAATTGATGCTTTACGTAAATTAAGAATAGTGTCAATATAACATAGAGGTTATACTCATTCATAAGTCATCTTCCCCAGCAGGTTAATGGTGAAGCAATAAAGACTACATTTTTCTCACAAGCAAAGAAAAATTCCTTGTAAAGTGTGACGATCTTAATGAAGATGCTGAGAATCCTGTCTCAGCACTGTGAGTACATGCAGGAGATGGTTTATAGTGGCTTCAAACATCACTATGCATTCCACAGTACTAAAGTATATTGTGATGCGGCAAGAGCTGATGAAGACACGGCCAAGAATTTCTATGCAACACAGAATTTTATTGATGACTGGAGAAGCTACACTCCAAATGAGATTTTAAGTTTCCATGAGTCCAGTCCCTGCTGAAAATGATCGCCCTCGCAGAAACGTATCTCAAAGGTCATTGGGGCCTCTGGACTGAAGGCTATAAAAGCGGGACTAATTGTGAGGCTGGTGGAAGTGTGGGAGAAGGCTTCGCTGTGCTGATAATGGCATGGATTGTTACTGTTCATGTTAGTCCTCTTGCTATGTTACTGCATAGGTTTTGAATGGTCTGCCTCTAATTATCTACGGGCCTAATTATCTTACAGTCCCTGTTATTTTTAGTGCACAAATCATGCAGAGCATGAAGATTCTTCAGGAATGCATATGTTACACTATAGCAAAAGAAATGTGTTTTTAAACAGGCAGTGCCCAAAAACAATTTCCGAGATAAAAAGCGAGCTCTCAAAAAAACTGCAAATATGGTATCTCATACTTTTAAAATTCAAAACAATATTGGGTAGCATATGTAAATATATTTATCTGTTGTGTTTTTAAGTATTAAAAACAGTGAATAATTCATCTCAAACACCCATAGCATCAGTCCGCAAAGGAGAAATCCCTCAGACAAATCCAAATTGAGACTTTCTGTAAAATATCCAACCAGGACTTCTCACTATTGTCAAGGTCATGAAAAACAGCGAAAGAATGAGACGCTGTCACAGGCCAAAGGAGACTAAAAAGACACAGAGACTAAATGTGCTGCAGTGTCCCGGGCTGAATTCTTAAACAGGAAACGAACGTTGATATAAAACCGGCAGCGATGCGAGAAGAGCCTGGAGTTTAGTTACTCGTGCCCACCAATGCTGTTCTCAGTTCTGACAAATGACCATGACCACATGAGACGTTAATACTGGATGAAGGACACCGAGGAATTCTTTGTGTTGTGTTTTCAACATATTTATAAATCCATAAAATTATTCCAAAACATGTAAAGAAAAGATGTTACAGCCTCCAAAAAACACATGTATAAAAGGCAGTGAAATTTCATGATCATACTTGTATCTGGGACAGGAGAGAAGACTATTTTTTTTTAATTATGTGAGCATTGTTTTAAAATATATTTAGGCATATGTGCTATAAATTTCTAATTCTTGACAGGACCATTTTTCAAAATAAAAAATACAGTTCTTTTAAAACAGTAGTATTTTAAGACAGTGTTAGAATACTGTAAGTTCATACAAATTCCCAGGCACTCAAGAGGGGAACCATGGACACTGGGGTTTGTGAGCCTTTCCAGAATGCTTTCTCCTTGTTCTTTGAGTTGAACCAGTAAGAAAAGTCAGAACCATGGAGTTGAAAATACTGATTTTAAAGCTTAAAGAGACTAGGTTAGGGGGGAAAAAAAGCTTAGCACTGGTCCCCAGATACAGACAGATTTAGTCACCCACCCCAGGTCATGCCGAGCCAGACAGGTGCCGTGTCACGGGTGTAGAGATTCACTGCCAAGGTCATCTTGTGACCAAGAGCAGATCCAAAAATATGCTATCAGCAGGCTAGAACAAGATCCTTAACACACACACACACCAACAAAAGAGAAAGAGAAAAAGGGACACTGAGTTTTTTATCATAAAGTTATCAATAGGGAGTCACACTTTCCAGTGGCCTGCTGACTACTCTCCCCAGTGTTGTGCCAGAGTTAAGAAGTGGCCACCCGATCAGGAAGAATTCGTGTAAAGAGTCATGGCCAGGAACCTCTCTTTCACTCGGATTTGTCCCATACAGGAAGAGGGTGTAAACAGCTCACCTAAAACAGGTCTACTTTTGTTCTTTGTGTCCATCATTCCTGAACAATGATTCCAGAATCATCAAAGATGGCAATCAGCAGTGTACCTTGATAAATGAATTCTCCAACAACAGGTATGACAATGACCTGGTTATACATGTCACACCGCCCATCACCCAGGCTGGTCCTGCAGACTAGGCCAGCGTCTTCTTCCTTCCTCATTGCTCCTTGCACATTCCTCCTGCAGCTGAGCTGCTCACCATCAAAAACGATGACCTTCTCCTCCAAGAGAGGATCATTCTTCATTCAAGGGTCTACAAGAAGCTGAACTCTTCTGTAAGATCCTCCAAACAAACTCTCAAGGTCCAGGAATCTTCCATGAATGTTGAAAGTCAGTGCAAAGATTGTCCTGATACATCAATTAACTGTCAAACGATGCCAGAACTAAATCTAAAATTCACTCCCTAATCTATTCTCAATCCAAATTCACCTGAGTCATATTTCCCAATGTTGCCCCATCAAATTTCTGCATTGAAACCAAACGACATCAATAACCAATGTGGAACAATATATAGATGCCCCAACTCTAGCTTTTCATTATTACATTTCTAAAATGAAATTAAAATACAAATATTAAACTCCCTTGTAAGTAAAATGCAAATGAATTAAAGTTTAAAATCAGATGTCCTTGCCCTTGTGAGTTTAAAAATAATATACTATGAATTTATCCCCTTCTGTTCTAATTCTACCTATCTCAACCAGGGAGTTGTATTACATTGTCATAGTGAGTCCAGATTACTTCCGCATCCAAGACTTGACCTTGTTCACAAAGGGAGGCGTGGCTTCTTCAAGTCTAATGGAGTTGAATAAGCCCTACCTTTAAAAAGTTCTAAGAATTGATTGGAGCACATAAGATTGTCACAGCATTCTTTCTGCACCTACAAAAATACAGAGAAAAAAACTAGCATCACAGTTACTAAATGAAATCTTTCAGACAAAATCATCTCTCCAAAACCCAGGACTCCATGTCGCTACCAGCAATAATAGAAACTCCATAGTGTCTGAGAAGAGAAGAGCACCTGAGGAAAATCGTGCGTTTGTCTTTGCAAGATGCCAGTGAACTGATATTAGCCATCCTGGGTTTATAATCTCATTTAGGAGAAATCTCTCGGGAGATTAATGTAATCTCTTCAGGCATTAAGCCCACGCATTTATCCTCTGTGAGGAGAATCTGCCTAAGCATCCTCTGAGAACGACATGAGGGACATTGTCACCTGTCACGTGGCTTAGAAATCTGCCTCACCGCCACTTGTCACCATCTCCGCATCTTACCTGGTGTGTCTTTCTTCTTTCTGCATAATCAAAAGCTCTTGATTCCCAGCTGTCCCTTTGAGCCATTGTTTCTGACGCCCCTGAGGTCTCTCATCCTGTGGCACAGTCTCGGCGGCATGTTTAGAGAAGGGGTGATTGGTTCTGGACCCAGAGGCCGTTGCTGCAGCCCTCTACTGAAAAATTGTTCAGGCCAGAGAAACACGCCTGGGAAAGTTTTCTCCCAGACTCTCGCAATTGTTACATCTTGATAATCTCCCTAAGCAGATTTCTGAATTGAATCTGCTGTTGATCAATCTTCACCTTAGTTCTGCATGGCCAAATATATCTGTAAGAAATCACCTCATCAGCTTCTGAATGATTCAGGTCACCTCTGAGCAATATCTCCTTCTGCCATATTATTATCTTAATGTAACTGACAAAGCCAGAACCTGCTTCAGAAGGGATGATTCAATTTAAATCAAAACTAAACAAATAAAATGTCTTTACTATTCAAACATGGCATCAATAATCAGACTTCTAGCAGAATCCCCACTTGACATAAATTCCAGCACCGCCGCTGTCTGTTAGTAGAGTCAGTTCGGATACAGAGCTTGCTTTCTGAAACATGAGCTACTTTAGTTGGGATTGGTAAGGAACACAATACCAGGGCAATGCAGAAACAGTATCCTTGTTTCTTTTGACCACTGAGTATGTACTCTGCCACCAAGTACCATCAGTTAACCAGAGTACACAACAAGGCGGAATCCGGCACGTTGTTGGAATTGACGTTAAATATCTCTTCCTCTCATCCCATATGGCCACATGCTCCATCTTAGAAGGATCTGCTGTGCTATCCTTTGTCATCTTCGTGTGATTTTGGTTTGCTTTGCTTTAGTGGTACTCAGGACCTGGGGTCTTCCTTACACTAGGCTTTACTGCTGGGATACATCCCAGCCCGCTTCGTGTTGATGCACTTGTCTTATCTCCGTGTGTTATCACAACTTTCTACTAAGGAGGGGATTTTTAAGTTAAGCTTTCTTTTGAAGTTAAGACTCAGTATTTAGTGCACTGTAACTTAATTTATTTCTAATTTTTATACTAAGATACTCAGTGGTTTTGAAACTGATTTAATTTGGAGTGGTGTGCCCTAAGTCATACTTTTCCCATAACACCTTTTATGTTTCACATGCTTTTGAAGAATGGGAGGAGATCGTCTCATGACAAGGGGTGCTAGGCAAAAATTTGGCACTGAAAATTTTTCGCAGAGAGATTTTAAACCCAACAAGATCATTTATATGAGATTTTCTGGTTTTTGTGGCACTTTTAATTTTTCATATGTATACAGTGTATTTTGATTATATATACCCCACTTTTCCCCTTCAACTCCCCACTAACTTTCCCATTCAAAATGCCACTCTCTTAACTTCATGTTCTCTTTATACGAGAGAGAGAGAGACAGAGAGAGAGAGAGAGAGAGAGTCACTGAGTCTAATTAGTACTGTCAATATTCACAAGTATACATATAGGTGTGATATGTGGGACCATTCACTAGATTATGGTTAATCTACCAGTGGCCACACAGCCCAAAAATGATTCTGCCTCCACCAGAAGTTATCAACTGCCGATAGCTCCTTATATAAGAACAGAGTCTCATAAGCCCCTAACCAATACATACTGGAAATTTGGTTAGATCAGTCTTGTTCAGGTCTCATGCAGGCAGCCACAGCTGATGCTGGTTTGGGAATGCAATGGCCATGTCATGTCCAAAAGACATTTCACAGCTCTTCTCCCTAACCTCTGGTTTCTACATTGTTTCTTGCTCCCTCTTCTGCACTGTTCTATGAGCCCCGTGGATATGATACAACTGTCCTGTTTGGTACTGAATACTCAAGGTCATTTATTCTTAACATTTTGACCAGTTATAAATCTCTGCATTAACCACTGGCTCCAGCAAAAAGACACTTCTCTAACCAAAGTCAAGAGCAGCACAGGACTATGTACACAAAAGTATGTAGATGGAAGTTTGACAACATGATCATATAACAAAACAACAGCAGCATGTCCCCAGTCAGGGCCCATGACCTCCCCAGTCAGGGCCCATGACCTCCCCAGTCAGGACCCATGACCTCCCTAGTCAGGGCCCATGACCTCCCCAGTCAGGGCCCATGACCTCCCTAGTCAGGGCCATGACCTCCCCAGTCAGGGCCCATGACCTCCCCAGTCAGGGGCCATGACCTCCCCAGTCAGGGCCCATGACCTCCCCAGTCAGGGCCTTTGACCAGGTTTTCTGTCCTTTGAAACAAGCCCCAAATTCAATCAGAAAGTAATTGGTCATCTCTTAACAGTCATGCCACTGCTGCAACCCTGGTGTTTTTTCTCCCCCAGAAGACTGTGTATCCTATACCAAAAACTTAAACTAGATTCTGACATGGAAACTGTGCTTTCTAAAAGGCTCCTAAAATTCAGCAACATACAATCGCTTGCCTAAAACCTGCTCATTTAAGCATCAGAAGAGCAGAATGCCATGGAAGAGGAAACCATATAGGAATCCTCAGTTAATTTTTTTTCAGTACAACATAGCATAAATCTGAAAGGATGTTGCTTATAAAGAACTTGAACCAGGAATCAAAAGAGTTCACTCTCCCCACCTTTCAGCTCTTCTCAGACTGAAGAACCTTCAACCCTAATTCAAAATTAGAAGTAGAAGAGTAATCCACGTAAGTCAGAGTAGGCCACATCACTTCTATACTTAACCATGGTCATGGATATAAGACTTTAAAATAGTAACCTAGCTTCCAGAATGCATCCTAGGCTATAGCACAGATTTAAAAATGGAAGAAGGGGGCTGATGAGATTTAGGAAACACCTGCACTAGAATCAGGATGAGGAGCTCTCACGGGAATAATGTTATTGAGGCACGGGGGGGGGGGGGTCTTCTCAAAAATATTCACTAATAAATAGAGCTGAAAGTACTCACTTTGTAACCAGTGGGCTCTTTTATAGCAGAAGCTCCTAGATTCCTCTTAGACTCTATGTTCAGGTTTTCTCTTCTTCAAAGACCTACCAGTCCCTTGGATCCTTGCTTCATTAACCGCTGAATCAAAGCATTTATCAGCCTCACTCCACTCATTTGCCGTCCTTCTTCCAGGCGAAGTCACAGACTTCTTCACACCAGGTTTAATTTTTATTTCTATGGGTGATAAAAATAACTTTAATGTAAACAGAAATAACTAATATGACACATTGAAGAATGTTCGCGAACGCCCTCCGAGAAGGAAACGCACTTGTGTCTGTGCGTCAGCCCTGTGCTCACCAGCAGGTCCCATCATCATCTCTGTTCTGAGGCTCATCCTACTGCCTTCTCTGTGGACTACATATCGATAGTCCAGCTACTCTAATTTCCAGGAGGTTTATGAAACATAATGATAAATATCAGACCCCATGGCACACACTGATGCTGGTGTTCGGTGTGGGTGGTGGGTGACTTGCTGCTCATTTCTGTGGAAGTCCTCAGTGCCGTGAATCTCCATGTTCCCTTCTGCTTTGACTCCCCAGTCTATCATATCAGATAAGCTAAAAAAAAACTGTATTACCCAGCTCTCTGGGTCCTAATGAGAAAGATAAGCACCCAATTCTCCCTGGGGCCCTGTGCCAGTACTGAGCACTGTTAAAACCTGCAAATTTACTATTAGTGTTAATGATACATTCTTTAAGTTCTTGCTATGAGCACTCCTTCTAATGATTCTTTGCCTAAAAATAAGCACAAACATCGAGGGATGGACAACTGGACTTGCAATTTAGCATCTGTTGGACAATTCTCTCGCTGCCTTGGCTGCCTTAAGCAAAAGGACTATTAGTCAGCCAGCCAGAGAACCCTTATGGCAACATCAGCCATTTTGAACACTCTGTGGATGCCTTGAGAAAATGATGCAAAGATTACAGCTGAGTTTTTTTTTCCTGGCTCCTGAAAGCACTGTCAGCCAGGGTTGTTGGAAATCGTTTGCTCCAGGCTTTTTGCTATTACATCTTCTAAATGACCTTGCAGTCGTTTCTCTGTGGGCCAGGAGGATGCATATCCCTTGGTGGCTAGAAGAGAGATGGCTGTGACTTGTTTGACTGTGGAAGTAAGGCTGTGATTGACAGACAACACAAACTGCAGTGACTGAGAGGTCCATCCTGAGATGCTTTAAACGGCTGTAATAGGTCTAAACCAAAGGCCATGACTGGTTCAAGCATTCCTCCTCAAAGTCTGCTTGTCTTACTTGGTTGGTGGGCTGGGAAATTCTCCTGTGCTGTCTCCAGTCATTTTGCAACACTGGACCCAGTGAAAGTCTCCTGTCTAGTGGTCTTGCCTTGCAGACCTTTAGAAGTGTGGACTGAGCTAGCAACGTGGAAAAAACAGCAGCAGAGAACACAGAATGGTGATGGTGTCCATGAGGTAAAGTAGTCAGTGGCCCTGTAAGTGCAGCCCGACAGCAATGGGACACCGTAAAGGGGACACCTCAACAACTGGGTGACATCCAAAGCAGGAAGGGGAAGGTTAAGAGAGAAAAGGGAGATCCAATGAGAGAAAGAACCAAATCTGAAGAATAAAAGGTTTTTGGGAGCCACAGAAGAGGTCCATAAGCTGTGGGGTCCTGGTCTCCAGAAGAGGGGTTACTGAGGTCTGTCCAGTCTGTAGACCCAAGAGAGTCAGAACCTGGGTCAAGAACTGCGATACTGGCTGATGTCAAGAGCTGAGGGAGTCCCCTACCTGAGACAAACTGAAGCCACAGTTGTATTACGAGCTGGGGAATCTTGTCCACCCAAGCTTCTGCCTGCCTGCGGCCACCACTGGCTTCTGTAAAGCATTAATGGAAGGGAAAGCTGGTAGAGACTGCCCTCAAAGAGCTCTTCCTCATCTTCGCACTGTCTCTACCCAGGCATCTCCCAGCCATGTAACCACACAAGCCTGAGTAGGCTGCCCATTTACCAGCAAAGGACCCACACAGGCAGCTGACTGTTAACACTAAGTCTAGACATTGATTTGGATTTAGTTAACCAGAAACACAAATGGGCTTCCAAAGTGATCTCTCGAACCCTGCGTTCCATGAAAATGAGCCACCTAAGCACATATCTGCTCCGAAGCCATCTCAGAAGCTGTTCCCCTTACCTCCTATTTAACAATCACCCTGTCTCAATTCTACACGAGAAAAGCATACTCCTATATTGCTTTCCAATTGAAGCTGGTAGAGAATACAGCTTTTTCTTCAAATGCGTAAGATGTAATGGCAATGGCTAGTGAGTAACTAGAATGACTCCTTATATGATCTGATTATTTCTTTTTTTAAGATAGGATCCAACCACATAGCCCAGGATAGCCTTGAACTTGTGATCCTCCTGCTTTGGCGCCCCAATGCTGGAATTATGGGTATGAGCCACCTCACTCGGTTGTTAAAGCATGCTTCTGAGTTACGCACCCCAGACATTTTCAAAAGAAATGTCATACTTTTTATGGTACTTCTTGTTTCATAAAGTCAAGAACATGATTTATATGTTATCTGATTTTTGTAATTTGCTATGAAAATCAATAATTGCATTCATCTACATCACTTTAATGTAGACATTGTTGATTTTAGTAATCTATATCTTAAGTTTCTTTCCATAATTTATTTTTTAGTGGTTTTTATAATTGTCTTTGAAAGTGTGAATTTAAGTAATAAGATGTGCTCCTTGAATAAATAAAATTTAATTATTCATCAACAAAATTCTTATGTTTACTTAGTTATAATGAAAAATTTTGTGGTACAAATGCTTGCAATATCTGAATAATTTAGTACTATTAAATAGAGGTAGTCAAATTTTTCTTTTTGAAATACAATTTTTTAACTTGAATGTTTTAATGAGATGTATTCTGCTCACATATTTAATTTATATGAACACACACATACACAATCTCCTATTGCCGGTTTCTCAGAATCTGAGCTTATTTAGAAACAGAGTTTGTTCAGATGTATTTATGATACAGCCATACTATGGCAGGTGGCCCCAATTCCACATCATCCTTTTTAGGAGACAGACATGTGAAAAACCTATGTGGTGACACCTGGGACCGCGAAGACTGTCTAGAGTGATGTCACTACAAGCTATTGGGGCCCAAAGACTGCCAGCAAGCTACTGAAGGCTAGGATGAGGCCAGGGAGGACTCCCCTACAAGTCTGAAAGGAGCACAACACTGCAGAAACCTTGATCTCAGAATCCAGTGCCCAGACTGACCGTGTCTATTGTCCCAAGTACCCGATTTGTGTCACACTATCGCTCAACCAAACCATCCAGATGTGTTTGGTACAAATTCGATTTCAGCTTCAAAATGAAAGCATAGCTTTCGAGCCAAAGGAGTCAGTCGTGCGGTCTTTACACTGTTTTCACGTTTGTCAGGCTGTGGCTGAAGAATGGCGCTGAAGTAAGCAGACACGTGGGTTCCTTTGGCCAAAACAAGGCTGCAGTCTGGGAGAAAGGGGAGTTTACATCCAAGCCAGGCACTGATAAAACTACAATGAGAGTTTTTAATCAAAGTTCCAAGGTCTACCAAAGTAGAACTGAAAAAAAAAAAAACATAATGAGTCTTCCAGAGGGCGTGCTTTTCTTCCCACAAGCAACCACTCCATTCTGCTTTGTGCTCTGCACAAAACACAGCTGAACAATAATATGGGAAGAGTTTTTCATGCAGTGTGTAGTGATTTATTTACAGAACATTTAGACTCTAAAATTAAATCAATTAATTCCTTTTGAGGAAAACTAAGGGCACTAGCAAAATTACCAGTCAGCCCAGCATTTAAACCCAATGACCGGAACTGACTGAAGCGCCTCCTAAGAATTAGTACTACTAGTTGCAAATTTTTCGGGTGAAAATAAAAACGGCTTTACAAATACCAAAAAAAAATGTGAGGGCTGGAGAGATGGCTCAGTGGTTAAGAGCATTGTCCGCTCTTCCAAAGGTCCTGAGTTCAATTCCCGGCAACCACATGGTGGCTCACAACCATCTGTGATGAGGTCTGGTGCCCTCTTCTGGCCTACAGACATACACACAGACAGACTATTGTATACATAATAAATAAATAAGTATTAAAAAAAAAATGTGACCTGGTACACAGCTGTTAAGTAAGGAAATACATGTTTCTCAACTCCACCAAGTTTGAGTTTACATATCACGTCTATATGGCAATTAAGTACAATCCCAAGTCTAACATTATTTTAATTTATATGGTGAATGAAATGACCAAAACAATAATGATGATAAGAATAGCAAGCAGTTCAGCAGTACTTACCAAGTGCTAATTCTGGGTGCGTTCTCCTAGTAACAACTAATTTGGGGACAAATAACATTATCCACACTTTGCAGAAGAAGGAGCAAAGTCTCTGAGAAACTGTTGGACAGGTTACAGAAATTATGCCAGATAAAGAATGCATTGGAAATAGAAAAATTCACAGATATCGGTCATCATTTTCAGTTAATAAGTTATATTCACATGGGCAAAAAAGAAAATACATGCAAAGAATACCTTGATGGTTCTATTTCTTTGGTTTCGAAGGTTTTTTATTATTGATTTATCTTATGTATGAGATACAAGTCTCTACAATTAAAATTGTTCCCAGGCCAACTTCAGGGGCAAACAACCAAGACAGTCACATATAAGACCCGGTTCTTAGAAAACTATCATTTTTTAAAAGAGGTCCCACGTTCATTTTGCTCTTAATTTTACAAGATCTGTAATCAGTCCTGATTATTACAAGGACTGTGCCCAAATGAAGTTTTACTTCTCTTATCTGTACTTTCAAACTTGACATTAGAGGATCTGATTTGGTTGCTATACAAACTTTTGTCGCAAAAAAAAATGTAGTATTCTGCCTTTGCAGGGAATATTGCATGTTGTCACTTAAACTGTAACTATTATAAAATCAGGGGCTTAAACTGGCATCTTTTTACACCGACATGTGAGGAAATGGAATCATTTAATCCCCAGCTAGCTGTTTGGATTCAGGAATGAGACGGTTGTCATGGGGATGCATAATAGCATGTTTATTTGGATTGAATATGAAGTCAGAGTCAGAGTTTTTCTGATCAAAAAAAAAAATGAAGTTATTTGGCTGATTGGGTTGACAATGAATAGTGGCTTTGCTCATTAGACAAGATTAACATATGCCTTCACT